TCAGGGGAAGTCCTAGAACCATCTATATAGAACCATCTCCATTTGAGGGACGTCTATGCCCTGTGCTACAGCCATCTCCATTTGGGTATGTATCAAAACATGGAGACCTTGCAGCTGTCAACCCCCCTGGAAGAAGGAACATAGAGTACCCATTGGGCCAGGGTGTCTCCCAGTGAAAATACACGCCCAGTCCTATAGAACACCAGAATCTGCCGCTGGCGGCACCTTCTCACGCCAGGACCGATGAGGTGGCATCGACAGGTCCACAGGCGGCGTGGCGGGGTGGAACCCGCGATTCGGCCGAATCGCGGAATGGAGCTCCATGGAGTGAAGGTGAATTACGTCAGGTATTTGGTTGGTCTTTGGTCTTATGTATTGTGAATTACGAGGCTGGTTTTTGGGGGTCGTATACGCAGTCGAAAGCTCCATCGATCAATTGTTGCCCCTTTTCGTTGCTTTTTAAAAGGTGGTGCTGTGGTGCTCAGATCAGCAGAGAAGCGCCTCCAGGGCAGGACCCGACATCGACATCGACGCACCCGACATCGACATCGACATCGACCCGACCGCCGAGCGGCCGGATCAACTGGGATCGTTCCGCGCTGGCTTGGACCAGGCTGATCCTGAGACAGGCTGATCCACCTGAATTAGGGCTCCACCCCAGTGGCCTCCAGTCGTGAAGGTGAGGGCACCTGGGTGAAGGTTCTGAGGAGCTCCGCAGGGAGGCTGTGGGTCATGACGGTCATGGGCATCGGAACACACCTCTTTTTTGGACCACAACAGAACAGACTAATCTGGGAGGTCAACCTACCCTGGTTTGAGGCTGGTTTTGACCCACAGCCACATGTTTAGTGAGCAAAAATCTCCACTTCGACAGGACTGGTCCGTACGACTCACGACTCCATTTTGTGGTTGGACCACGACCATGCATGTATGTCATAAATCGAATGAATACCATTTAGCCATATTTAGCCCACTTATGATCTCAACGTATGCAACTACATGGAGTGCTTGCGGTTTGTGTGTTTTGAACAGGCCTGTTTACCGGTCGTCGACACCTGCAGGCTGCCACCGTCACCCACACGGGTCCTGCACCTGGCGCTGCGCCAGCTGCAGTGTCACCGGGTCCTGCGCTTGCGCCAGCGTCGGTGCCCGCTAAGGAGGCCAGCTGACCAGCTAGGTGCGGCAGTTGGCCCATTCTCCCAGTTTTGGGGGAGGAGGTCCTGGGTGGTGATTTCAGATATGGAAAGGGGGTTGACCTACCTGGAGCGTCCCCCCCCTTCCGCACGAGACGTAGCAAACCAGCGTCTCGTCGGTAGGTCCAAGATATCCTGGTGCCATTTGGTGCGACCCACAGCTATGTTTTGTATGTTCAACTGTTCAACATGGTTCAACGGTTGCTGCTTAGGATGATTGAACCCACTGACTGTTTTTTTTATTCATGAGTTCTAGAGGTGGCTTCTGATCCATCATCGATATTAACAATCGTTGTTGGTCCGTGTTGTTATAGTCATTGATTCATGACTTATATAGATTATAATTCTAGTGATGAGTTAGTGAAGTTGTTATTTTGGATCGCACACCAGTTCCTTATGATACTTTTGGCATTCCCACAGGTTGATGTGGTCCCTTTGTGATGAGGCACGAGCATACAGGAACTGGCCATTGAGCCTGTAATCCTGGCCATTCACCAGTTCTTTGTGAACTCATCACAGTTGCTGGTCTTGCAACCTACACAGACCAAGGCCAAGGTGTTTGGCAAGTGATACATTCACCATGCACGTCAGGGGCAGAGAGGAACATGATCAGGGTGTGGTCTATTCTCGTCATGTTCAAGCGAAGCACAGAGTGCTATTGCATATGAGTACCTGGCTCATTGGAAAATTTGGAAACCTAGGAGAGGGTCCTGAATGTACGTATGATTTTGTTTGTTTTACTAGCTGGTGCTCAGGAGGGAGTTGAGGAGCCCGGCGTATCCATCTTCCCCGTTCACCCAAGCCCTTGGCCAGTCTAAAAGTGTTTAATGGGTGGCTTTCTTGAACAACTGTAACTCCCTTCCCACCAAGGACGGACTCCTCACGGACTTGTCCTCACCATCTGTGCGTTTTAGGACATTGATGGACAGACCCGAATTCCCAGACACTCCATCGACTAATGGACGATATGCCGCCCCATCGACCCCCCCAAATCACACCGGAGTGTTTTGGCAAATCTGGCAGTCTGGTGGAGTGGTTTGGATTGGTTGACTCATGACTCTCCCCATTTGTTCAATCGAGAGAAGCCTGACAGCCTGACATTTGATCCATTCAACATCCATCAAGCAACCATTCTAAGAAGTAGACGATCAGGCGATCGATGGAACCGGAAGAGAAGAGACGGACTGATCGTCCATCCGAACCGGACGCACGAGGTAAGGGAGGCTGAGAACTCACCCGAACCCTCGCAGGGACTCATCACCCTCACTGCCGTCGTCGCTAGGCCACGCCTGCTGAACGCCCGGAGGCAGCAAGCGCGCCGCCAAGCGCGCCGCCAAGCGCGCCGCCAAGCGCGCCGCCAAGCGCGCCGCCAAGCGCGCCGCCAAGCGCGCCACAGGCTCGCGATGTCCATCGTTCCCGGTGTGAGGCATGTCAGAACTTGGTGAACTTGCGGCTGGAAGATGTTGCAAGCAGGTTTTAATCGGATTGATCTGTACAGGACAGGTTTTAAGGGAAGTTTGCTGATCGGAACGATCCATGTCTCGCATTTTATATGTCTGTGCGGTAAAGGCGATCCCACCGAAGGAACGAACGGTGGCGATTCACGCCCGGAGTCAAGGGTGTTCGATCCCTAAACTGGAAACCTGTTCTGTATCTATTTGGGGAACCCCATTAACGTTTAATGACATGATCCTTCCCCAAGGAGTTTGTATGGTCCTGTATGGTGGACTATGTCAAGTCCAGATGATTGATCCTTCCCCAAGTGAACCAGGCAGTAGATAGACTTCCAAAGATTCTCTCATCGACCCATTGTTTACATTGCATGTTTTTGTTACTTTGCATGTTCTTGTTGACTTTGAGTAAATCGACAATTGGTTGATGAATGTTGAATCTTGCGAGTGGTTGCTCTGATATACCTGTGTTTCGATGTTGAAATCCAATGACCGGGGCAATTGGCCTAGGCCGGATTCTTAGGGTGGTCAGTTTGATTATGCAAGACATCTAAGCCCCCGGGTCCTGAGACAAATCGAAGCAGAACATCCAAGCTCAAAGCTTGCACAAGCTGCAGGCAGCGCAGATCAAGAGGGCTCCAAAGGCGGATGGTCACATCGGATGGGAAGGACACCTTGCCTCAGTTGGTTTCTACCCTCCCTCCAACAAACATGGTCTTCCCAGGCCCATTTTCCACTTCCATGATTGTTTAGTTCTTTGAGTTTCTTCATTGGGCGATTCCCTTCTTGAAATATATATCCTTCTGGACTGTCCAAATTTCGTGGGCGCTGAAGCTTTGAATGAGAACCGACTCCAAGTGGGTAGCGATCTATCCTTCTACCAAGCATGATCATCCGTCTTGCACTTGGGCGAAGACCATCTCCGATTCCAGGAACTCCTGGCAGGGTCTCGGAAGGCTCCATAGAGATCCATCAGTTGCACCTGTCGCTGGGGAATTTGGGATATAGGTTTGATTGGTGTTTTTTTTTTTGTCTTTTCCTCCAAACCACGGAGCAATCTCCGCCGAACCGCATCGTTCATTCGAAACCACCGGCCACCCCGGCGGAAGCTTGGACGTCCCTTTAAACCTTTGTGAGGAGAACCTGCCAATTCGAAAAGGCCCAGCTACGCTGTCCAGATGATGACCAGTCCTCGCAAGGGGGTCACCAAAATGTTTTCATTTTATAGTTCTTTGTATGTATTTTTTTTGCCCAGTGTCTCCTTAAAATGGGTCCTGAAAGGAAGCCGAACACTGTCCACTAGGTCCACCTCCCTCTCCCTCCATGGACGGTGCACCGATGTGGATGGACGACCCGAAAGCGAGGCTGAAGAGGCCTTGCAAGCTGGGCGGCAGGCAGCTGCTACTTGGCACCAGGCGGAGTTTTCCGGATGATTTGGAAGTGGAAAACCAACTCTTTGATATAGGGGAAAATGCTCATCCAAGAGAGCATTTTTGTTGCAGGATTCTTCAGGGTGTGTGCTCCAAAGCCTTGTAGATCAATGGTGATCTTCTTGGGATTGCTGGTTGCCTGGGATTGCTGTCGCAGGTTTCGCAGGTTTTGGCTGCAGAGTTTTGGCTGAGAGGCTGAGAGGTGGAGACATTCTTCGGCCAGGTCTATACTGGGCATCGCCCGGTCGACCAACAGCGACCAACAGCGACACACATTTCACACCAAATTGGTCGACCCGGCTGAGAACCCGGTCCTCGGTTTAGAGATCCTTCTTTTTCCCGCCCAGCCGTGAGGGGGCGGGAGCTCTCTCTCTTCCCCCAGGCAGGGGGGTGACATGAAGGTGCGTGTGTGATTTCACATGGATTTCTTTCCCCGTGATGTTGGACCACCTGGCAGGGTTTGTCAAACCACGTGGCACTGGTTTCCGGCAAAAGGTTCAGTCACATCTTCTGCCCAACGAAGCAGGCTTAGTCTCGTTCCGAACATGTCTTCGTTAAGAGTGGGTGAGTCACAGGGAACCGGACCATGTGTGTGACATGGGGCGGTTCATCTCTTTCGGTCGGAACCGTTAAGAACATCTGCCATGGATTCTCCGGCCCAACGTGTTTTCAAAAAGAAAGGAAGCTGCCTTCACACGGGCGCCCTTTGATTATTTTGATTGAAAGATCCATGTTTCTTTTAAAGAGGACTCCTTGGAAGGAAACCGAACATGAATCGAGGACCACATGGTTCTCGTGGACTACCCCATGAGTGGGGTAGTCACTTTTGAATACTTTTGATTATATGTTGACTTCGTTTCAATGAGGAATTCTGACAAAAGAGATCACCCTTGGAAGTTTGCAAATAACACGTTTCATGACTGGTGATGACTTTGATGGTGACTTTGAAATCCCAGCAAGGGGATAAGATCAACACAGTCGCGATGCAACATGATATAAGGTTTTTGTTGTTTTCTTTCGACATGAAAAGATGTGAACACATCGTTCACCCCTGTGGCTTTGGTTCCAGGTCAGACCAGACCTCTCTCATATGATTTCCAGTTCAGGGATTTCCCTTGTTGGACTACCGGTGCTACCGGTGTTTTCGACGTGAAAGGTTATCGTTTCCACCGCGGTTCGACCTCACCGAGGCATCGGCTAAGTGCCGGTCGGAAGCAGCTCTGTTGGCCGGCCTGGCCACTGAGAAGGCGGGGCTCGCTTTACCCAGGTCGCGGTGGCGGCGCGCGGGGAGAGCGGCAGAGTGGGAGGAGAAGTCGTGGCGAACGTTGGACATCAGCAGGAAACGTGCTCATTTTCTGGATCTTCGTTTGACTTTGGGTTTGTCAAACGGAGGGCGGGGAGAGGGGAAAGTCCGAAAGTAGATCACGTGGAAGCTGAATGTTGCGGAATGTTCCACTTCTTGTTTGAGGGCGGACATCCGCCCTGAGTGGCGAGCACTGTTCTTTTCCGCACAGGAACGTGCGGACTACGAGAGGTGAAGCCAGGAGGTTTCAGTCAACCAGCACTTGACTTGAAGAATGCGGTGCATGGGTTCACGGAGCGGTTAGTGTAGAACGTGGTTCAATAGCATTTCATGAGACAGATCTGGCACATGGAGTGAACCCCCAGCGAGCTCAAACATCAAGACCAAAGGCAGTCGTTAGAGATTGGCCCTGATTCATCGATCGACCCCATCCTTTGCTGGTCAATCCTTGGTGCCCAAGTTAGAGGAGAGGCACTCAATCGGCACTGTACAACCCGAAATCATTTGACCATTCAGTGAAGTCTTTGCTTCAGGATTCGAGGAACAGTGTCCAGGAAGAAAGTCACGTTTGTTATAGAAGGTTGTTTCCGACTCCTTCTCGGAGTACTGTACAGTCCCTCCATGTTGCCAACAGAATCTCAATTACTGTAACTGTAAGTCCATTTGACACTGTGTCAGATTGAAGAACTATGTTCCAGCATACAGCATAGAGTCGAGAAACGTTTATAAAAGATCCATGTTCTAACCAGCCTTTGATAGAGTCGAGCCTTTGATACTGTTTATACAAATATAAGTTCCATGTTTATATAACCATGTTCTAGCCTTTGATAGAGCTCTTTTAACAGCCATGAATAGCCGCAGGCTTCTCCAGCCACCACCCAGGCGGCCAATGAGTTGGGCCTGCCAGCTTGGGAGGCGGACGAGCTCTCCGCCTTGATCGTGGCTTTGGCGAAAGAAACCGCTTTTGTGGAACGAGCTGGACGTCCCAGATGCAGGTGATCCGCAGGTTTGGGTCAAAAGACAGCAGCCAGAAAGCCAATAGACCGCTGATAGATCCCTTGCACTGACAAAGAGGGGGAGAACTTGAAAACCACTATATCTGAAGCATGGTTGATTTGTTCCAAAACAACATCAGCAACATTGCACATGAAGCTATAATGACCAGCTGTATCTTCAGGAGTTGCTCCATCACCCCCGTCGTGGGTCCATTGTCTCTCCCTTCAACGGGATGGCCTGAGCCTGACGTGTTTGACGTGGATCTTCAGCCAGCACTGCCGCCCAAAGGGCTGTTTCAATGGCCCACACCATCGCCCACACCATCGCCCCTCGCAGTTTCCACCTTCTGAAAACGGCGGAACCCGAGGCTGGTGAGGTGACCTTCGATGCTTGTGCCACTTGAATCGAGCGCTGCCGGCATGCGGCATGCGGGTGCAGTCGCCACTGGAACCGTTCGGCTGCGGTACCTCACGTCCCCCAAGGACTCGGCTCAATGAACCATGACTGGTGAATCGTTATAGGCTTATATATACGTATAGCTCTGACAGTTGGGGAGCGGAACCAGAATCCTTCCCCAATCCTCCCAACAGATCCTGAAAATGGAAGTGGAGGGGCACGAGTTGTGGTTGTTCGGAAAGTCTTCTTCGAAGAGATCAAACTTCATCCACTTCCATGTGATCAGAACAATCTATGTTCACTCGATCGTTCCCGTTTTCTGACCAGTCGGCTTCCTTTTGGGAGAGACGGGGAGTGGCGGGAGATGTGGTCTCCTTGTCGGTTCATGTAGGGCTGGTTTGACTTGCATGTTGTTGGCTGAGCATGTATCAACTCAGTATAGACTTTGTGTTTCAACGTCGACATGGAATGGAAGAAGCCCAGGATTTGTTGGAGATGCCAACCACTTGAGGCTAAGGGGAGGGTCGGCTCCTCCCGTCGCACCTCAGGTTCGGTAGGACTGGACACTCCCAGTGCTGGCCCCGGTCGTCCCACCTGCTAAGAAGGTACTTATACTATATACTATAGCCCCTAGTGGTATGGTATTAGTACGTGGTGGGGGAACAGCAGTTCCTCGACTGTACGGTACTGGCTGAGTACTCAAATCATTTGCCCTGTGTTGATGTCTTTCTTCGGATTCTTTGGCGCTGTTTTCGGCTCCTGTTCTTCGTCGCGGCGGTCCGCTGGGCAGTCCGCGGCGAGCTCAGGTGAACGAGAAGATGTCCCCAGAGCTGTTGGCAGTCGAAGTCGGCAAGGCAAGAGCGGTTGCGGCATGCGGTTTCGGCACGGTTTGGAGAACGACTTTCTAGAGGAAAGGTGATGGTGAAAAATAGGTGGTCAATTGTGTGAGGCTATGACCCCTACCCTGGATCAAATAAGATGATGATGATGATGATGATGATGATGATGATGATTTGAGTCGCTGTGACCTTGGGTTCGCTTGTGACCTAAGACTTAGTCACCCATCCCGGCCGACGAAAACCGTGGAGTCCTGGAAAACAGCTGTTTTGCCAAGCGGGCGGGCACAACGCTTCGCAGTTGCAGACTGTTCGATGCTCCTTCTCGACTTGTTGACTCCATATCTTAGCTGCTCTGCCACATGTGCTGCGTGCTGAAGCTGCTAAGCTCAATATATACTCAATGGTCGAATAGTTGATTCCACCTTTTCTGCGGCAGAATGCACAACTTCAGAATTCAAGCTGATGGCTGCTGGACATGAACCTCACTCGCCATCAGCCATCCGCCATCCAGGACCCTCCACCCGGACCTTTCAAATCTGAGGGGTTGGATTCGTCTCGGGCCACAGAGCGTCACAGAAAGAGGCATGGAGGCATCCTGCCTGGAGGGTGGCATGAGATGGATGAGATGATGACATTCCCCAAGGTCTTTTCCGGTTTCAGTCTGTGATTCAGTCCATTTCCCCGGACGAACCTGGACACGGACTGATATCGAATCGATCAGCCACGGTGATGAATGGCTCGCCATTCCTGTCCGGGATTGGTGTTTCGGACATGGACTTTCCAATGATGTTGTAAATCATCAATCCATATCAATCCATTTCCAATGATGCAACACATGTTGCAGTTCCATGATGTCACATGTGTCGTGCGACGCGACATTCGCCCACGAAGGCCACTCATGCAGCTGCCCTGGCGGCTGGCATGGTGACACAGAAGGCAGCAGAGATGGCGGCTGCAGCCGTGGCTGTGGCTGCAGCCTAGAAAAAGGTCCAACGACATCAACCCCTTCCCAAAGAGAAGAGAAATTGGAAAGGTGTGGCAACATCCCACCCTGTTCGCCCAAGATGTGTAGTGGACAATGGCCCGGAACAGTTTTTGTCCTCTACCAAAAGGGGTTGTCCGAAGTCCACTTCTAGATTGTTCAGGGGAGGGTATTGCTACTGGATACAAAAGCTGGGATTGCAAGGATGTTCATTCGCAAGTTCTTGCGGGTCTGTTGTGCCTGTACATCTGCCTTGCTTGGTATCAACCTTGTAGATGTTTCTGCAGGTTGCAGGCAAGACTCACCGCTTTTGAGACATGCTCCGAGTTCCGCCGCCATTTGCCGTTTGGTTCATTGGATCTGTTCCAATGCACGACTGGACGAAGGACGATTTGATGCAGCTGGACTGGTGGACACTGGAGTCATCATCGAGTCTCCCAAAGTGGTTGACACTGGACCCAGACACTTCATAAGACTGACCTATTTATATACCTACATTGGAGTGATTCAAAGGGGATCAATGTAGCCGGCAAATATATAGTCCAGTCGCATGTGTCGTGTCTGGGGGGATGTGGTTCAGTTCTTTCTTTGTGCGCTACAACAGCTGCGGATATGACCTGGTCGTTACACGTCACGATTCGACCAAGGCAGGCCGTGCCGCAGCCAAGGCCCGAAACGTCCTCGCCATCGGGTTTCGCAGGAGCGGCGTGGGAATCTCAAGAGGTAGAACGATAGAACCACATGGGATCGAATCGGGTGAGTCTTGAGTTTTTCCTAGGGTTTCCATTTGGGTGACTTCTTGTTACTTGCGCTTTCTTTTTTGCAACGGTTTTTTTTTGGTGCTCGTGGTTCTTTTTTCCCCTAACAGTGTGGACACACTTAGGGGTTCTTACGGTAGTCGAAAAGCAGCTGATCCTTAGATCGCTGAAGCGCGCGGGCGTGTGCGGCTAGTTCGCTGCTATTTACAGTGCATTCATGAGCCAGGGCGGGTGCTTCTAGCGACTGCGCTCTCGATGTGGTGCCGTGCGCATTTTCACACATGGTGGTCACTTTTCGTGGCAGGCGCAAGGGAACCACGTGTTTTGTTGGTCCAAAGTCGACTTTTCGTGACAGGTGCAAGGGATCGGAGCGGCTTTACTTCGAAGTGCAGATCTCGTGGCAGGTGCAGCACTTTGGACACGGTGTCACCGTGTTGATCGTCGAGGCGCTCTGATTTCGTGACAGGTGCCGTGAATCGTAGCTTTTCCAAATGTGGCTCGTTTTCAGATTTTGTGGCTCGCTTTGTGAAGTTCTTTCTGTGCCTTTTGATGGAAGACAATCTACCAGACTGGACGAGATCACCTTCCCCTGACTGGGGAGTCAAAGACGACCCCTACCTCGAGGACGACGCGAATGTCAAACCGGCCATCCACGATGAGCTACAAGCGGAACCTGTCCCCGCTGATGCACTCACCGCTGCTACACCCAACGGCGTAGAGGGCAACCTGTGCAGCTGGAATCTCTTATTTCTGCGGGGATGGCCGCAACGGCCATGATTGCAGGGCAGACTTTGATCTCTGGTTCGGCTTACGCACTCTTTAGATCTCTGCCGCAAGAGGCGCAAGCTGCAATTTCTTCAGAGTTAGTCATGGCCAAGCTCACAAGAGCTGCAATCAACACCGCAGATCAGCAGGCGGCTCTCTTGGACAGGTCCCGAGGGCGCACTGATGTGGGCATCAGATTGAGGGGAACTGGCGCTTTCTCTAGGATGATTGGATGCTGTTTTTCTGGTGCGCTTCTTGAGCGGCCACAAAAGACACCAAACTGGTCCCACGAGCTCTTGGGATCACCATTCCGACCACCTGAGTTGATGTATACGGTCGGAAGTCGCACACCCTGACCGGTCCCTGAAATCCGTAGGGATTATTTGGGGTCCGGACCCCTGACCCATTTGGAGAGCTCAGGTGGACGTTCGCCCGAGCCGATGTGCAACGCCTTTGGATATACAAAATGACCACCAAGAGAAGTCTGGTGAGCGGTTTCCTGGATCTGTGCCACCATTTCACTCACACTCACATTTACACTCACTCACACTCACATTCACACTCTCACTTTCACTCACACTCGGACTCACACTCACTCACTCACTCTCACTCTCACTCTCACTCACACTCACACTCACTGTCATCCACACTCACTCTCACTCACTCTCACTCACACTCGCACTCACACTCACACTCACTCACTCTCCCACTCCCACTCACACTCACACTCCCTCACACTCGCACTCACGACTCCTCGTCTCCTCGCATTAGCTTCATGTACCATGAGTCTTTCTGCCATTTTCTCTTGTCACCATTTTTGATTACCCTTCTCAAGAAACTTGACGCATCTTTCCTCTTCTGAAGTCAATTCTTCTTGTTCCACACAGCCGTTCTGTTTCACTATGGCTCTGTGAAGGCGTTGGCAATAATCATCTCTCATAGAATCAACCTGCCCTTCATTGATCACATACCAACTTGAACTCGAGTCTCACTTCCTCAATTCCGTCCTTTGCTGAACTCCATCCTAAGATCTGAAATCTCAAAGCTACTTCATTTTCCTCCATCCATGCAGGCCAAGGTGCCTCCCTTGCCCGCGCAGCGTCGTCGTCGTTATGCTCAACGTGTGTTGTCAGGATGTTGCAAGGTGTCTTCATGATACTATGTATACTCCCACTTCATGTCGTAGCTTTAAACTCCTCAAACTGCCCCTTAAGCTACGCCAAGCGTTGCGATGGTGCACTCCTTCAGCATCAAATAAGTTTTGTTTTCTGTGTTTCCATTGGTGTCATGTCGAATCTAGTACCTCGTGTGTGTTTCCACTTGTGTTTCCATTCGTTGCAGAATTGTGAGATGTTTGATTTTCACGGTCGTTCTCCAGACGAATGATTTCCACGGTTTCACCTGTATGCGTGCAGGAACAAGAATCGTGTTTTCGGCGCCTGCGGCCATTGGGATATATCCCGCAGAGGAAGCTCCATCACTGGATTTGCTTGCGAGCCCGGATGTCGCTTGCATGACTTGGACTTCGAGTACGTTGGCAATGATGCTTGCATGGACTTGCAACCCCGTTTTGATTTCACTTACGTGCATGCTGATTTCTCTTTTTATGAAACTCATGCCAACGAGTTTGAACAACCCTCCGCCGAGTGGACCGACTGGATTTCCGCCAGTGCCGCATTTTCTACCTCCGGTATTCTCGACGGCCGGATACCCTGTATCGACTTCGCCATGCTCTTCCGGGTGTGCGAGCGGGTCTGTTGGACCGCCGGCTCCCACCTACAAGCGCATGCGCACCAGTGAAGGAACTTGGGTATGGGTGGAATAGGAGCCTGACCTGTAGATCCATTGGAGAGCGCTTCTCCCAGCATTCCGGGGGCGTAATGCCCTAGGTCTAGCTATTGGACTGCAGCTTGATGCCTTGTGAGAAAGAAGAAGAGTTTGCTGAACTTCATTCGAACTTCTTTGAACTCCCTGTTGTCTTGTTAAAGTATGCACGTTTGTGATCTTGAAGGGTTGGACAAGCATTATTCACGCTGAAAACAAAACTTTCAAGAACCAAGAACATGTAACATGTTGCAAGGAAACACTTTCAATAAGGTTGGAAGATGTTGGATGAACTGATGGAGAAGGCGGATGAGCTGTTTCCGCATGGATTCAGTTGTGAGTGAAGCAGGGCTGCTGATTTCCAAAGGAAGATCAGTGAAGCAGGGCTGCTGCGTTGGCCGCGAGTGAAAACATATTACAGAATTGCGCGCACAGCTTCAAATGCTTCAAACACAGCTTTTAGCAGGCCAGCATTTATTTAAGACCGCATCCTTTTCCTTTTTTTGACGTGTGGAGGCATCATGTTCAACAATGTGGCGGCCTGGCACTTGGGTGTGCTCTGC